TGCTAAAAATACACTTACTGTGAGAAATTTAATATATTCTAAGAATTAGACTGATACAGTAACTTTAAAAATAACCAAGTGCATAGGACATCTGAATAATACAACAGTAGCCTACAAATAATGAAAATATGCTCAGGAACAAGAGAACTTTTGAGGTGTTTATTTCAGATTCACAAAAATTTTCCCATATGATCTTAGAAGGCTATATTCTAAGCTAGATAAAAGTACAGATCCTGATATGAATACATTTATCCATGAACTACTCATGTTTAACATTCTTTCAAGAGGTGTTATGTAATTGCTATAATATAAAAGAATCAATATAAGTCCTTAATGGAAGTATTAAGCAATGCTCATTTCAAAGCTATTTGACATGTTTTTTTTTTTTTTTTTTTTTTATTGCAGTAACATTGGTTTATAACATTGCAAAAATTTCAGGTGTACATCATTGTACTTCTATTTCTGCATGGACTACATCATGTTCACCACCAAAATACTAATTACAACCCATCACCACACACATGTACCGAATTATCCCTTTCACCCTCCCCCCTCCCCCCTTCCCCTCTGGTAACCACCGATCCAATCTCTGTCCCTATGTGTTTGTTTATTGTTGTTATTATCTACTACTTAATGAAGGAAATCATACGGTATTTGGCCTTCTCCCTCTGACTTATTTCACTTTGCATTATACCCTCAATGTCCATCCATGTTGTCACAAATGGCTGGATTTCGTCATTTCTTATGGCTGAGTAGTATTCCATTGTGTATATATACCACAGCTTCTTTATCCATTCGTCCCTTGATGGGCACTTAGGTTGCTTCCAAGTCTTGGCTATTGTGAATAAGGCTGCAATGAACACAGGGGTGCATGTACCTTTGTAAATTGGTGTTTTCAAGTTCTTTGGATAAATACCCAACAGTGGAATAGCTGGATCATATGGTAGTTCTATCCTTGATTTTTTGAGGAATCTCCATACTGTTTTCCATAGTGGCTGCACCAGTTTGCACTCCCACCAGCAGTGTATGAGAGTTCCCTTCTCTCCACATCCTCTCCAACACATGTTGTTTCCTGTCTTGTTAATTATAGCCATTCTGACAGGCGTGAGGTGATATCTCATTGTAGTTTTGATTTGCATTTCCCTGATAGTTAGTGATTTTGAACATCTTTTCATGTGTCTGTTGGCCATCAGTATATCTTCTTTGGAGAAATGTCTGTTCAGGTCTTTTGCCCATTTTTTAATTGGGTTGGTAGTTTTTTTGTTGTTGAGATGCATGAGTTCTTTATATATTTTGGAGATTAAGCCCTTATCAGATGTATGGTTTGCAAATATCTTCTCCCAATTGTTAGGTTGTCTTTTCGTTTTGTTGATGGTTTCCTTTGCTGTGCAGAAGCTTTTTAGTTTGATGTAGTCCCATTTGTTTATTTTTTCTATTGTTTCTCTTGCCCGGTATTTGACATGTTTTTATTTCCCTTTTGGAAAGAAACAACTAAATATCTGTTATCCATCATTTACTTGTACAATACATAAATTTTTAAATAAATATGCAGTGCACAATAGTAAATAGCCTTCCTCAAAACACAGAGGCAACATGAAAGATTTAATTATTTTTAGTGGGAAAAAAATACTAACACATGAGCGTTATAAAAGATGAATTTCATAAGTATTTGTGAATGATAATGAGAACAACAAATTTTACTAACTTTGCCTCAGTCTGACAAAAAGATCCATAATGATTCCACAATTTTTATTTCCAATTAAATACAACATCACCCAATGGAATGGCATACTGGCTAATTCATATTTCAATTATTTTTACACTTAAATTAATTAATATTGTTATTTCTGTGAAACAACTACTCTATGGCCTGCCTTTCTGGCCAGCAAGTAAGAATTTAAGAGCTCTGGTAGCTAATGCAGTTTATTACTGGATTTTAATGACAAGTTTTATAAAGACGTGTGAAGCAATTCAATAGAATCACTTTTATTTACCAAGCATTTTGCAGAAAGCCTGGGACTATGTAAGAAGTCCTAAATGTATAACCCTTTTACATAGTTGTAACTTAAAGATAAGATTTTATTTAATACCAGATACAGATGGAAGCACAAGCTAGATTATTGGTGGAGAATGTATCCCACACACCAGTCTGTCTCATAGTTCGTGTTGATAAGAACTGCTTAGACTTTTCTGTCACTTTTCAATTAGCTTTATTTTAAGCAAGAGGATTATTAATGCCCTTTTCTCCCATTTTTTCTTTTTGTTTCCCAAGTTCTGACAACTCTACCGCCAAATGGTTAAGGACAAAAGAATAAAGTTCAAGTTAAGAACTCTGCAGTGTTTTTAAGACCTCTGGTGAAAGAAGGGAAAGGTTGTGTCTATTTACTAATTTGAGGGATTTCTAAAATTTTACCCACGTTACGCCTGCCCCTCATTAGTAGGAAGCTCGTATTTAAGTAGCTCAGCATAACTAGCCTCCCCAGGCTACTAAAAGTTTGAAATCAAATATGATTATCATTGTGAAGCTACTTTTCAGCTACCTGCTCATAAAATTACAGAGAGTTTTATGAAACTCAGAGTATCCTTTCGGGAAAAAAATTTCCCTGAAACCAGGTTAGAAGAGTGAGTCAGACTGCTTTGCCTACCTCCTAAGGTCTCATTCAACTAACAAATGTTTACCCAACTTCTATTCAAAATACTTGCGCCAAAAGTTCTGATAAATCCAAGCATAGTTTACACATTACTAATCTATTCCCTTCAGTCTTGTAGAGGTGTTTCTTCCAAAATCTACCAAATCCTCAAATAACTTTAGGCACTTTCTCCATAGTTAATGCTACCATTGACATCAACTTTGTCTCCAAAATGGGAAAGACTATCATTGCAAAACTCTATCGATGACCTGTAATACAGAGTTAGAACTGTTCATCTATAGAAGCATTCCCCATAAATCAATCACACTTGTCCACCACAGCCAAGATGAGATTATTCATTGTTGTGTCTACTTCTTTATGGCTTGTAAGGGCAGTTTATATTATTCTGATTTTACAAACTGAGACCCAAGGAACCTGAGCGAATTGCTCATCATCACCAAACCCCACTAGGTGAACAAATCAAACTCAAATGTGAGGCTTTGCCCACCCCAAGAAACAGTAATTCAAGAAATGGTGCCCTGATTCTGTTAAAACAATCTAAGAGAGTTATGCGAGAAGAATTTGAGGGTGAATAATGTGGCTTGCCAATAAAGTTACACTCAAATATCTCCAAGGAATCAAACTCTCAGACTAATAATCAGTAATCAGAGTGTGCAAAATAAAATCATGAAATGCCAGTTTACACCCGTTAGATGGGGAAAAAGTTTAAAGTGTGACAAAATCAAGTTTTGGCTAAGACATACTGCTGATGGGAGTCTAAATTGCTATATATATACTTGGAAAGCAAGTCAATAGTACCTTCATGTTATAAATAATCTATGACCCAGAAACTTCACTCCTAGGCATATACTCTAGAGAAACTCTTAAACCTATGCATCTAACGACATGTACAAACATGATCAGAGCAGCATTGCTTATAATAGCAAATACTGGAGATCCCAAATGTCCATCAATAGTAGAATTGATTTAAAAGGGGTGTGGAATAGTAATACAATGCAATAGTATACAGCTGTGAAGATAAAGGAACAATAATTAAACAGATCAACAAAGACCACATTTCAAAAATAAGATGGAAGAAAAAAATCGTCAAAACAATACATACCATTTTACTCCATTTTCACAAATTCTCAAAACATGCAATACTAAATATGCATTTTTTTAAGAGAAGCATTTACATGAAGCAACACATTTTTAACAGGCAAGGGGTAATAAATACAAAATTCAAAATAGTAGTTACTTCTGCAGACAGGAAAGGGAGTATGGGGTATTGGGAAGAAAAACAGAGAGTCCAGCAGTAGAAGCAGACTTCTTTTCCTCTAGCCGTGGTATGCTTTGTTTCTTTATACTTTCTATATATTATGTAGCATATCCTTTTCTGTTCATGAAATAGTCCTTAGTAATATTTTTAAAGAGAGTCTCTGGGTAGAAAACAGAATAGACTGGGGTGGGGGAACTATTGCTTTTAATTAGAACCTGTTACGTACTATTTTTAACAACATGCATGTTTTACATTCGCATAAACAAAATATTTCAGAATTTGCCTCCAAAAAAGTGTGTGTGTTGGGGGTTGGGGTGTCTGGGCTCATATGTAGACCCTGAAATAAAATGATCTTGATATATTTGCTCCCATTTGTGTATAAATATTTATAAGCATAAATGCATCCTGGAGTATGCAAAGAAAATTTCCGGGAAGATTAACAATCTACAGCAGTTGTCTCTACAAATAGATTCACTTTTCATTTTATGGTATAATTTGCTGTATAATTCCCTTAACTTTACTTTTTAATTAATTAATTATTGTACTATATGAGTTTTATGTTTCTAATTAAATTATTTTTTGAATGAGGGCAGGAGGTGGGAGAAGAGGATGAAAGATGGGAGGACTCCTGGAGACCTTCGCATTGGGCGGGCGCTGGGGGTGCTGAGCGCTCCGCCATCCTCCAGTAGCCCGGCCAGGCCGGGCCACCTGCGGGGGACGGGGCCACCTGGCGAGGTCGGGCGGCGGGCGGAGACGAGCCCGGCCCCGCCC